TCAACGACATCCTCCATGTTCTCTGCACGCTCGTATCGTAACGCTGAGGTCTTTATGGACAAACTGTCCAGGACCAGCAGCAGCGACGCTCTGACAGCAGGTGGACTCGAGCTGCAGCTGCTCCTCCACAGAAGCACCATCAGCAGAAGTGGATCTGGACCGCTCAGGGTGAAGAGACTCGTCATGAGAGTCAACAAACAGACAAAGAGCGGCGCTGTGCTGGTCTGCATGACGCCTCGGGGGTTCAGCGTCGGAGGAGCGATGGAGCGTTGAAGAGCTGCTCCTCTTTTCATTGGGGGACGGTAAAGTGGGCCACATCTTAACTCCGTCCAAGTGGCCGGTATCGGCGGTCCGGCCCCCCGGAGCTGGAGGTGGTTTCACTTCACTGAGAGCTCTCGTGGAGCCGATGGTCATTAAATCACTAGAAAACCCAGCAGGTGTCAGAAAACGCTGGTTAAACGAGTGAACAAGGTTCTGAAAGTCCTGCCACGAACACACAGCGCTCACAGAGGGGTACTGCTGAAAAGTAATAGATTACAGATTACTAGTTTAACTGTTAACATTGAACTTACGCAACCTTAAATGATACGATAAAGCTGTAGCTGCTGGATGTGAAAATAATCAACCGTTTTGCTGACAAAATTACCAGATTATGTAAAAGACTCACAACTAATTTCCATTTGAAGGTGGAGGAGACCAAAAACGGAGCTCAAAATAAATGTAAAATTGAACTTACGCAACCTTAAATGATACGATAAAGCTGCCTTGTAGCTGCTGGATGTGAAAACAATCCACCTTTTTTTCTAAAAACGTAACCATATTATGTAAAAGATTCACCCCTATTTTCATCCAAAGGTGGAGGAGACCAAAAACGGAGCTAAAACTGAATTTAAAATGGAGTTACAGGACCTCAAATGATACGATAATGCTGCTTTATAACTGCTGGATGTGAAAATAATTAACTTAAAGCTAATAAATTTACCAGATTATATAAAAGATTCACAACTACTTTCCACGCGAAGGTGGAGGAGACCAAAAACAGAGCAAGAAATAAATGCAAAATTGAACTTACGCAACCTTCAATGATACCTTAATGATGCTTTATAACTGCTGGATGTGAAAATAATCCAAACAGATTCACCAGATGATGTAAACAACTTGTTTCTACTGACCCCACATTAAACATGCAACATTTATAATTAATTAATCCTGTTAATTTGTGCACAAAATAATTCAACAGCACAAATTGAGAGCATAAATTATTAATAAACGTGCATATTTGGTTCATTCTAATTATTAACGAGCTGCTGTTGTTGCAGGACTTTTAGCTGCTGAACTTATTTTAAATCACCGTGAGCGATGCTAGTCGAGCTTTAGCCGCCGGACTCTTGTGAGACTTTTTCTGATGAACAAACACAAACTGAGGATCAGGAAGACTCAATGAAAGCAGCTTTAATCGTGCGCTAATTATGAAACGGCGTTTATCTGCTCGACGCTCAACAAGATGTGACGGAACAAACGGAGTTCCTCAAACAATTAAGAAGAGAAGCTGCTTCCCACCGACGCACAGAGAACATCTGTCGCCTCGTGTCTGATGCACAAACTGTGGTTGTCTTTGAAGTAGCTGCTGTTTATCTCCCTGACCGGCTGATTCTGGTATCGATGACCTGCGACGACGCCGTCCTCCGTCAGATGGAGCAGATCTGTGATGTGGCGTTTGAGGTCGCATCTCTTTTTTTTTTTCTGCTTCTCCTCTTGCGTTTGATTTCAAAGCTCTCTGTGGTCAAACTTTAGGGAGGAATCAGTAAGTGAGCGGACTGATCTGGCTCTGACAGCTCCTCCAGCGGATCCAGATAAGTGGCTGGCGTCGGTGAGGAGATAAAGACTGAGATTGAGCCGCTGTTCCGCCAGATACACTGCAATTTTAACAAGCGCCGTGCTTTGTGTGCTCGGCGAGCCGGAGAAAGTTTGGAAATAACAATGCAGATGACAGGAAAATGATTTTGTTTGTCACCGTTATGCAGAAACACTCGGCGCTCCCCGGCGGCCGCCAGATCCTGCAGAAAGAGGCGCTGATAAGAAACGCTTCGGATCAAACGCGAGCTGCATGAGCTGCCTCTGAACGGCGTCTATACGGAGGAGACACAATGAAGCCTCGCCGGCAAAGTTCTGGTCTCGTCCTCGTCACGGATCACGTTTCAGGCTGATGTCCTCGTAAACACTCGCTGCAGGCAGTGATTTAGATTAAACTGCTTTTCTTAAACTGATTTCTACAACATTAAACCTGCAGGTTAAACATCCATCCATCATCTCTAC